ATTCCTCAGATAATCCTTCAAGGAAAAGAGTCTCACCTTCATGTCATAGCTCTGGCCATTGGAACTCAGAAAGGTAAAGTAATTTATTTAGGTAAGAGTGTCAGAAAACATGACAGGAAGAACAGAGACTCATGATGAATCAACGTGGAGACCAGGCTGTCTCTCATCTATTGTGTGGCCTCACCTAGCCACTTCTGTGTGTGTGTTTGTGTGTGTGTAGAATATATATATATATACACATACATACACATACATACACATATACATATACATATACATATACATATACATATACGCATCAATCAACCATCTGTTTATGTATCCAGAGCCAAAGAACAGCCTGGTATGGACAAGGCATTGTGGAGACAGAAAGCAGGAGGTTCATGCTTTTCTGTGTCTATCTTTTCCTTATTCCACCAAAGGTTTCAGACAGTCAGTATACAAGTTGGTTTTTTTTTTAATGTGCCAGACTTAAAACTATCATAGAAGTTGCTAACTGAATCAGATACAATTTTCTATGTGGAAATAGTAATGTGGGATGAGAAGCACCAAGAATTAAACACGTTTTTGCTTTAAGTCCCGACTGTCAGGAAGCTCCGTCCTTTCTCTGGGGCTAGTTCTTCCGTGTAACCAGTAGTCACTACCAGATAGACTTAATGTTCCCTTGCATTCCCTCATGCCAGAGGGTTGGTGGTGGTGGTGGTGGTTGACTGGTTTGGTTTTATTGGGTTTTGACAAACCCAGGATCATGAACAGGCTAAGCTAGCTCTCCACCACAAAACTCCATTTTCTACTCTGTACTTTCAGTCACAGTTCACGTACTTCAGATGCAGGTAAAGTGTGTTTTTTGTGTCACTGTAGCTCATTTTGACATCTGCTGAGAGCCAAAATCTTTCTCAAGCAGTTCCCAGATGGAGTAGTGGCTCAGGCCACATGTGTATGCCTGTGCAGCCTGCCCATTTCTGAGCACCGCGACCTGACATGATACTCACACAAGAACATTCTCTAGCCAATTGCTGAGTCCACATTCATACATCAAACATACCACAGACCATACATGAAGAAGGACATCCTGCCTCACCTCTCTCTTAGCCATATACCCCGAGTTTAGCATAGGATATTCGTAAATAGAGTGGTTGAAATTCTGCAGTGGATTTTCACAACAAAAATACTTAGAATTATCAGAAGAAAAAAGTGTGGTAAGGAATTCACCATAATATGATCTAATCGCACTGGTGCTCCAGCACAGATGGGGCCGGCTGGTGTTCTTGGTGGGAAAAGCTAACTTAGGATGGAAACTCAGCCTTCTGCTGGCAGGACGCTCATAGTGTGTGTGTGTGTGTGTGTGTGTATGTGTGTGCGCGTGCGCGCACTCGCGCGCGTTTGTGTGGTGTGCGAACAGAGGCTCTTGGAGATGATGGTGCAGAAGAGCTCCTGCGGTGCCGTTACAGTCTATTGTCCCCACAATCTATGTATTTAGCAGACCCTGAACACCCTGCAACAGCTCCAGAGATACTCCACTGGCGCTGTTCTGACAGATCAAATCAGTGGTGATGTTTTGGCAAAACAGAGATTTGCTCAATAAAGTGAAACAGATCATGGGTAAATATGTATTCATATGACACACAAATGATCTTGTGTGTGTGTTAAGGAAACACAGCTTCCCTGTTCTTGGGCCATAAATGTTAGCCCACCCTGGTTATACATACAGCATCTATTTAATGACAGCTAGAGTGATACACGTGACAGGAATGGTAGACACTGGCATGTGATTCCCCAGCCTATCTGGCCTTGTTTCAGCTAAAGACAGTCACCTCAGGTCAAATCCTCTTTTCAGGGCAGTTTTCATGCAAGGACTGACTTGGCACTAATATACAAAACTCATTCTCCTCTCTAAATTTGGAGCAGTTCTCAATAGCTGTGGGGTCCTGGAGTTTATGTAGGAGCTGCTGGTAGAGGCACGGTGCCACTATTTCCTCAGCAAGTCCTGCTTTGTCCCTGTCCCTCCTACAGACAGCAATTTTGGAGAGTAACCCCCTGACACACACATACACACACCCGCCACTAACATCCAGCTAATGGTTTGCTTCCCAGGGAGCCCAGGTGTGTGCTACATTCTTTTGTAAAGAATGTTCAAGTACTAGAGAGAAGTATGCTTAGTCAATGACAAGGCTTATGACTGCAATGTTATAAAACTTACCTAAAACTGTGATATGGGGTCCAAAGAACAAATTCCTAAGTCTAGTTTAAGCGTCTTTATATTTAAAGAAAACTGGTCTAGTGGTTCAAAGGCAGCAATTTTGAAGCCAGATATTAAGCTGGATTTGTTCCAGTCTACTTCCTAGTCTTTTTGCATATTATATACTTATCCTTTCTATTTAGAAGGATGGAGATCTGAGTCATAAGAGAGCCAAAGCTACCGTCAGGGTCTCTGGATGGGGCCCTTGATGCATTCCTATAAGCAGCAATGGGCCTAGCAGGCACAGAAATTCCCTCTAGAGGCCAACAAGGCCCACATCACACAAACCAGCCCAAGCCAGAGGTCAGGAGGTCTGAGATTCTATAAGAGCTAATGAACATACATAGCATCCCTAAAGAGCATGGGCTTCCAGTGCCCCAAATTCAACCCCAGTAAAGTTATCTACTGACACAATGAGACCCTTTAGCTGGGAAAGCATAGCTTCCTGGCTCTGCGAAAACCACATCGTGGCTTACCTTGAAGTTCTCTTATATTTTAGGTTGTAGTTTATCGGTGTGTTCAAAGTCAACCTCACTTATCATTTTCCTATCATAACTTCCAGGGAAAAATAAAGTTTTCTTTTTCAATTTTAACTTCAGATTTCTTCCTCCAAAATGAATTAAGAAAAGTCAATGGGAAATAAAAATTAAGCTTTGGAATTTGAAGTGCCACAGGGTCAATATTGGACCTCCAGCTCCAACTGAGCATAGTAAGTAACTACATAAGATGCAAAGTACTAATTTCTAAATTTTCGCTTCTATGGGTAGGTGTGCTGCCTGAGTTTATGTATGGTGTGCCAGACCCTGTAGGAAGCTAACGGCAGCCACAGTACAATGAGAACTCAGGGGAAAATCACATCTTTACTAGGCTTTGGGAGGCCAGCTCTCTCGGAGGTTAATCTAGTCCACATGAGGCTTGGAGTGTCCCATCATGTTACCAGCTCTATCAGCCCCATCCTACACTGCACACCACATGTCTCCTGATGTAGCCCAAGAGGTTGGGAATGAGCTATCCATTTGCACCCCTTGTAAAGGGTCACATGGTTTCCTGAAGAGGAAAGTCTCAACCTTATGCAGCTATGACTGTGGCCTTATTGTGAAGTAGAGATTTTATACACGTCATCAAGTTAAAGTAAAGTCACAATGGATTAGGGAGGTTACAAAGTAGACCCCCAGGACAGAAAGCATTCAGAAAAAAAACAGGAGGAAATCGAGGTAGAGCAGACACAAGCCAGGGTTACCGCAACAATTAGAAGCCAAGAAGAGAAGGGGAGGACATGCCAGGAGAGCTGCAGAGCGCACAGCTTATAACATGGCTTGGAGACTGGCTCGAGAGCCACATAGGTGAATTCCCTGCCTCTCTACACAAACCAATGTATCCTTACTTGGGAAAGGGTTACACCTGAGCTTCCAGATGGTCAGGCCACACAGGGGAATACTAATAGCACCACACACTTCCAGCTTCTTCAGAAGCGAATAGAAAAATCCTGCAGGGAACTGGGGAAACCACAAGCTTTTCTCGGATTGTGCAACCTCTGCCACTGTGTCCTCACCACAGTTAGTGAAGACTGAAACAAAGGGAGACTTTGGCCTGAGCTCAGCAGCCTGCAGTTTTAGTTTACCGAATAAACATATGTAAGTGTTCTAACATTTACTTAGCTACTATTACTATTTTCTATCATAGAATTCATCTGTCCCTCTACAGTAGTCCCACATTTAAAAGTAAACAAATAAACATTTTCTTGTAATTTAGTGCTGGGCAAGTATTTGTGTTTAGAAAAGGAATAAGTTGTCTTGTCAGACACTCCTCCCAGTCACCCCATTTCCACGCTTCTTCAGGAGGCCAAATGGTCTCCTCTATGTCGGTGAGATCTCATTCACACCCCAGACAGATCCAGTGTGGGATGAACTGAAGAGGCTTCCCAGAACCCACCATGTCTACCATGCTTTTCCCAGGCTATGACTTTTACCTCATGTCCTCTGCTGCTCTCTCTCCTGCGACAGTCTGGCCATACTGGCCTGTATAACCATAGCTCTCCCTCTTTGGAGTGCCTTCTATCCTGTTCCTGTGGCTGCACCATGGCTTCCTCCAGGTCTCTATCCTGAGTCATAAGCCCAGACAGTCCTTACTGCCACTGGCTTCTTCCCTTTAACTGTCCTCTTGGCTCCTAGACATGTAGTGACTCGACCTAATATTCCTGCTTACCTCTTCACGGTCTCCTTCCCCTGTCAGTGTGTGCTCTGTATAACTCAGGCCTGTGTTCCAGGTTCCATTCTGTTATATGAGTCTATCTCAGAACAGATATTGCATAAGTGATTTGCTGGATCAAAATGATAAAAATCGAATACAGTTTGAAATTTTCTTGGTTTTGGTTTTTACTTTTTGAGGAAAGCATAGCATTAAATTTAATGGTGAGCAACAGTTCACTTAACTGTCATTGTGAGCTTGTGTTTGTATTCTTTTAAACATTCTTACACTCTATTTTCATCCTAATTGAATAGTTTACAGTCTTTATTAGAAAGTGCCTAAGTATTTCAGAATGGGACAGAGAGACAGCACCAGGCAGGTAGGTTGGGTACCTTGGAGGCAACCTAAGTGCTGACCAGCAGGAATGTGACCATGTGACACAGTAAGTTACAAGGTGGCCCTCAAGCTGGAAGTCCAGATCTTTGGTAGCAAGTTAGGACCTGGGGGCCTAAAGAAAGAGAGATGAGGGTGAGCTGGTGGGCCTGCCATGCAGTGGAGAGGGATGCAGGATTACCTTCTCAGTCCTGCAGTTGCTCAGCCCCATGTTATTCATGGAAGACAGTTTCCCATCAACTCCGTGTGGCTGCTGTTGCTGCTCCCGCTGAATCTGTTCTCGCATCTTCCGAGCCTCCTGAATGGCTTTCATCACTGTGTCCTGGTCCCCAAACAGGGCAGGAGAGTTGAGACTGGATAGTATATCTGCATACACAGGGGGCATTATTAGAGGTATGTGGAGACAGTCTCCCAAGTGATCCACTCCCCGGGGTAACGCTGTATTCTCTGAGCAAGAAAGGAACACATTTGTTATTAAGAAAACGACAACACTAGTTAGAGAATAGAAGTCAACTCAGCCAAGCTGTACAGGTTCAGGGTGCAGTTAGCCCGTGGAGGATACTCCAGCACTCCAGGCTGTGTGGTTATCTTCTACCCTCTCACAGATGACTGGTCCTAGCTTCTCTGAACCTAGGTCTAGGTTTTTGTATGTATAGCGGGGAGTATTTGCCTTGCTTGTGCCTACAGTATCAATGCTCCTACATTCCAGTCCTAGATCTATTGGAAGGGTAATTGCTTTCCATGTGTCTATAATTTATGTACAGTCTTTGCTGATCTGTGGGGAAGGGACAAAACAGGGGCTAGGCAGAGAGGCAGCTGAGATTTCTGTCTAGATCCTCTGTTTATTTGGTATGCTATGTACAGGAGAGCGGTTTGAAGCTCAACAGAATGAGACCTAAGAGGGTACATGTGCACTATGATGACATCTGTGTGTGTGTTATGTGTCCACTGCAGGAGCGAGGGGGCGGGAAGGAACACACCACGCTCTCCATTCTCTGCAGAGCTGGCTGGTTAATGAAGCATTCTTCTTATCATGCTGCCTCGGTTATTTACCAAGAGGATGACAACCCTGCCCAAGCCCCAGCTTGGACACCCACAGCTTCCAGCCCTCTCCCCCACCCCTGCTCCTGACAGTGAAGCAGTATGTGTGGCAATGGCTTTCACATGAGCACAGATCCTAAAAACAAGTAAGAAGAAACATTTTCCTTCATTATATTCCGTGTAACCCAGAGGGGAAAATGAAATGAGAACTAATTTTCCTCTATGCCTTGCATTTTTCTCAGCTTAAATGAATACTTTGGATCAGTTTTTCCATTTTGAGACAAAAGAGGGCAATTATTTGATTACTGATAGATTTCAGTTGCTGTTATGTATTTGACACAATCTAACTTGTGTGAGGCCCTTTGTATTTCACCACACATGTGTGTGAGAGGCATGTATGCATATATGTATACACCTCACAGAGAAAGGAACAGAGAAACCAGACTACAATCAAGCTTTATATCACATGCCTTGTATGTACAATATATGTACATATATGTGTGTGTGTATATATATATATACATATATATATAATACATATATACAGAAATGCTGCAAAAAGTTTCAAAAAGCTGTCTATGAAAATGTTTTTTAAAGTCAGTTACTTTATTATAAAATATTAAAAAACAATTTCCTTTGTTTAGAAGTTTGCTGATTAAATAAAAGATCACTTTTGTGGAATATTATTTGCACAAGATTGCTGTCCAACAGCTGATGCTGTTACTCCTGCCCATCTGGCTTCCTACCTAACAAGCTGCTGACAGGAGCAGGGCCTAGGGCATGCCAGCTCTGTATCTACCCCTTTAGATGCACAGTCCAGGCCACAAGTACTCCAAGCAACATGTGAAAGTGGACTACACGAAGCCACTTTAAGGAGCCGACCACTGCTTTCCTTACATTGGTTCTCTTTTCTCATCTCCCAATTCCCAAAATGCCAGCCAAAAGAAACAGTTCATGTTAATGTTCTGGATGTGTATCACTGTCCTCTCTCTGAGGGACCCTGACAGGATGTGAGACATTGTGGCTCCTAAGAGAGGAACTTAACTAGAAATCAGAACAGGCTGCTGTCCACATCCTAAACACTATAACTTACTGTCAGAAGACACAGTCACACTCAGCCCAGTTGAGCTTCAAGAGAGCAGAGAGTTCTGGGTGAGAGACCTGTGTGTAAGTCCTGGTTCTGTTAGTTCACAGCACAGGTCTAGGGCTCAGTCATTGTACCTGTAAGAACTACACTACCTAACTTGTAAAGTGAAATTAAACAAAGTGGCAAGACTACATATAAATTTTGATGGCTCTACCCACACATTACTGTATCTAATTATGATAGGCAATAAGGCTCCATGATTCAACAATACAAGAAGACACAGTAAAGAAATGGCTAGTCTAGTTCCCAACCCCTTTGAATCTCCCCACTACCAGAATTTATTTGGAAACCAAGAGATGTGAAGAGTCTAGTAACAATACCTACCCTTAATGCTTTGCTTTGTTCCTGCTGACAAGTGCCTTCTTGTCTTTGTTTCATTCTACCTAAGCAGGTAAGCATGCTGGGATCACCTAACATTGTCTTTCAAAATGGAGACTACAAGGCTCTGTCAGGTGGACTGTTCTCTTCAGACCTTATGACGTACACAATACTGTTGACTTTTCAGGGATTAGGAAATACAAAACCACTCCAGTCCCTAACCTTTTGGTTCAGATATATCCTTGTAGAACCCATGCTTTTGCTGTACAAACAAGGGCAAGAAAATACCTTCACATCTTTGAAAATGCCCTTCAGAGGGCAAAAAGGAACAGGCATACTGTGACATGGTTTCTTGCATGAAGCCAATTCTTGATGCTCTTACAAAATTACTTCAGTGCAAAACTGACAAAATTCAGAGCTCCCCCCACCCACAGTGTCTGATGGCCAGGATCCACTAACATCCAAAAAAAAAAAATCCAACAACAAAACAAACAAAATAAAATGGACACTAGCAGGACTGGTGACAATTTCTAAAAGTTCTAGTTGCCCAAGATACTAAGTTGGGTCTGCTTCAGTGGGAAGAACACCACTGTCCTTCCTGAGGAACACAGGACCCAGGGCTAGCAGGCACGGACCAAATTACTTTCTTTCCCAGTTTACAGGTCTCTTCCATTTACCTAAAGAGGATCCTCTCCCCAGGCTTCCTCCAATGGGGCTGGGGATGCTGCTTTTGTTTGGCAGATTGACAGGGCTGGTTTTGCTGGCTGGAAAGAGGCTCTGGGTGGGAGATGTTGGGGACTTCACAGGCTCTGCTGTCTTAGGCCTGGATGAGAGATTCAGCGGCTGGGCTGTTGTTTCATCCTACAAGAGTTTAACATAAATAATTATTTAAAAAAAGACAAATGAAGCACATTATCACTTAGTAAGCCACAGTTATTTTACACCTCCGAGACAATGCCACATTCTCCTACAATAATAACAAAAGAAGCTAATTATCTACCTCCTTCAAGATTCATCGGAAGGAACCTCATTAATTTCCCTGTGTTATGCTTCTATTTACATTAACTGTGTAGTTGGATCATTCTTTTTGCCAAATTAAAATCTGAATTAGCTCACATTACAGCTTAATTTCCTAATGTGTTTTCAGGGATCTAAATTAACCTAGGGCATTTACAAAGAATTATTTAAAATTTCAGTAGCTCTGTAGTGCTTTTGTGTTAGTCTCTCTGAAAAGTTCCTGTGACTATAAATAGTCCCCGCAGCTAATTTTTTAATATATATTTTAAATCAAACAATTCCAAGTACTTTAGAATGGAAACATGGAAAGCCATCTTCTTCTCTCCAGGGCCCCTGCCCTCAGAGTCCCATGCCACACCACAGGCTTCTATGTGGCTTTCTGGGTGTGGGTGCTCTTATGGTTTATATTCTGGTCTCTATTCATGTTTAAAATTAATTTTTGTGAAGAGCAAGCATACATTGTAATTATGTTTTACATGCCATGCTATATGCAATTTATTTTTCATGCTTAAAGTGATGTCTTGTTACAATCTTTGCTACATATATTTATGGAATGTCTATTTTAAGACCCATATCCCTCCACACCAAGCCCAGTATTTTCATCTCTGGCTTGGAACTCTGAGTTAGCCAGTGGCTTGAAAGACAAAATGAAATTTGTTTTCATTTTGTCTCATTTATCCAACCATCAAAGAGCTACAGACAATATTTCTCTCATTTCACATATTTAAATATATGTGATTTAAAGGTTCAATATTAAGATCTGCATTATTGCATTCTGAAGCAAAATCATCAGCAAATGTCAGATCCCATCTCACTTCTGGGATACAGGGGACTTGTTTTCAGTGACATTATTGAGAATACACAACAGAATCTGGTAACAGAACATTCTCTTCCAGGGTAAACATGTGACCTCACTGAGGCTTAGTTCTTTATCTATAAAAAAGACAGCCATATACGAAGGGATGTCGATCAACAGCCATGCCAGAAAATTAACAGTGGAGAAGGAGCGAGGAGGAAGGACAGGAACACTGACTGTGTAGAAGCACTACACTGGGCACCTGCAGTGCATTAGCCCACTGAGCCACTGATGCCATTGGAGGATGAACCATACTACTCAAAGTCAACAATGAAGAGATGAACATACAAATAATCAGAAGCCCCTTCTCAAGGCTGTATAGAGAGGGAAATAATTAAATCTAACTTACTGGACTCCAAATCTCACCCCTCATCCCTTTCAACCAAATGACCATCAAAAATGATCATTTGTCTCTATGTCTGAGTTGTTTCGTTATTGTTGTTGTGTTTGGTATTAATAGGAAGCAAGTGCTCGGTCCCATCTGTGTTGCAATGCACTTTAATCTATATTTAGTATAGGGCATGTTCTGGGGAAACATGATTACATCCACTATGAATGTCAAAATTATCTGATGTACTAAATTAACTTGCTTCTTTTTGCCCTTGACTCAAAGAATATTTAAACTAGTCACTTCCTTCACTCATACTGGAATCACAGCAATTTATATGCTAAGTATTTCGCTCATGTTCTCCATGTTTCTTTTATATGGGGTTTGCTGAACTTCTAAAATGTCTGAATTTAGAGTGTTTGTCAAGTTAGAGACATGTTCCACCATTATTTCTTCATATGTAAGTCAAATTCTTTATTCTGGTTGTGTGAGTTAGCCCATGTGATGTTGCCCCTGGACTGAGTCTTTCCTCTGTTCCATTTTGCATCATTTTGTTCTGCCTTCCATTCCATATTTTTTCCTCCCGAGGGTCTGAACTGCTCCTAACCCGATCTAGTGACTGCTCATCTGTGGTACTGCACTTAACACTTGTAGGCAACTAATTTTATTCCCGTGCTTTGCCTTATTTTATTCATGTTTTCTTCAATTTTCTTGAGAATATGGACTTTACAACATCTTTTTCAGTTTTAAATATGCTCTAATTTACTATTTATAATTCAAAATTTATGTCAAGAAGTTCTCCATTGTAAAACATGATAGAGGGACAGGATCAGGCTTACTTCCCCAGGTTAAGAACTCACTGTCAGGACACAGGGCATGATGAGCATCAGACAGGACTCTACAGAGATCTATGCTAGGAGTCTGGGAAAAGTGACTCCTGAGATAAGTGAGGTCTAGCCTGGTCTTACATTACTATCCAGAAGGAGTTTCTGGGACGTGGCACAGGAAACAAGGTAGTCTCCCTGAGTAGAGAGTTCAGAGTTTATGATTACTAATGTAGACATAACTTTTGAGGAGTACCAAAGAGGACAGATCTACAGAGAGAAAATGCTAAGGAAGTGCAAAAGACTGGCCTGCATGCTTAGTTAGTTGAGCACTGAGCAGCAGATGCATGTGAAGGCATCTTGAGGCTGGGGAAAATAAAGGGAGTAGGTAAAATGACTGCTTGTTCATAAAGGACTGAGAATGGCTTACTCTCACATCAACACAGTGCAAAGGTCATATGATGGACATACAGGGCAGTAAGTAAAGTCCTTAGGAGGCTGTTGCCTCATCGTGAGGCTAAAGTACCTCAAGATTCCTGGTTGTTTTGAACTTAACAAATATGAAAAGTATATCCAGAGAAGATCAAAAGTTTTGTGTCTCAGAATAGATTTCAGATATCTAAAAAGAGGCAAACACTTTAGTAGTTAACATCCCGTAAAATTCAAAATATGTTGTATCTATTCAATAACTATGAGCTTACACAGAAACATGATAACATGAATAAAAAGAGAAAAATACAACAGCTTTCAAACAAACATCAGAATGACACAGATAGTAGAGTTAGATAAGACAGAAAAACAAAAACAGCAACTTGTAGGAGGGTAGGATGCAGGCAGACCATGTCACCAGTCTAGGAGCATACAATCTGAGAAAACATTTATGTTCTTTCTATGTAAGAGTGACATTTTGTGACATTGTAGTAGGGCTAATTGTATGCCATCCTCCACTCAGTTTAAGATAGCACAAGGCATTTGTCAGGCTGTAGGGACTGAGTGCCTTGCCAGGTTGAGAGGCTTTTGCTGTATATAGAGCTGATATATGATACAGCCCAGCTCGATGAGTCTCAATCTTTCTTGGAATGGGAGTATGCAAGCAGACACTTCTATTCCAACACTGAAAATACCTTCATTTCCTTCATGACCACCAACTCCTAGATTGCAGTGACAGACTTTTAATAGATGAAAACCCCTTGTTTATTTCTGTTTCCTTCAACAAATCTTGCTGTGTCATATTCCACTATACAATGCACAATTGTGTTTTATATCATAGGAACCATGATATATCTGGATGATAAAATCTTCACAGTCATCAGACTGAGTTTATTCTCAGAAATTCTTCAGTAATAGGAACATTCAATTTAAATGCTCATTTTATATTTTGGTTTATATATTTCTGCTCACATACATAATATATGATCTAAGAAGGATAAGAAATGGGTCCTTTGTTGCTAACATAAAATAGGAAAGTCAAACAATACAGAACTCTTAAGCCTAAGAATTTGCATGTGGTCAAGTGAGTAATAAAATCTGTTGGCCCACAAAGCTGGAATGGTAAAAGCAGATAGAAACTTGAATTTAGCCAGGGAACATTTACTCATCTAGTAAAGGCTTGGTTTGGTGCAGTTCCAGTTGGCCAACTTAAATTACAAAATGACCTTTTCACATTAAAATATTTAATACCCAAAATATTTAATACCAAATAGGAGTTGTGGTGTTTCACATACTCTTTCTCTAACAACTATGAAAAGACTTAGTCCTTATTTGAGCTCCTATGCTATTATTTGTATTCACAAATAAGCATTTGGAACACAAAGTAATGTGTTTCCACAAACTTACAATTCCTATGTTAATTGTTATAGCTCAAGATTTCTAACAATTAAGTGTAATTTCACCTTATTTCTCTAGAGAATCTAAAAGAATGTGTGGCATTAAGTTAATATTTGGGGGTGAAGCATAGACAGGCTGCCTTGAGGATGTTCATGGTTTTGGTCTTCAATAGTTGAAGTCCACTATTTTTGCAGACTTTCTGAAATCTCAACATTGCTATCTGAAAATTTACCAGAATAAAATAGCTTCAGTGACTGGAGAGCACCCAGTAGTGAGGCTGGTTCATCTCCACTGTCTCCTATGTGAAGATTTGAAGGCTGCCCAGACTCCCCAAGTGCAATACTTCTGATGCATTACAGTCATGTATCCACAGTTAGCACAACTCTCCAAGGTCATGGCCAATTACACACAACAATTATTTCTCCAAACAGTGTGAACTTATTAACTCCATATTGGAAGCAGATACAGTTCCCCCAAGCCAACTTATATTTTGTATAGGAACCATATGCAGCACACATTTGAAGTGCTTGATCATTTCTCTTGTCACCAAGTATTCCTCAGGTGACCGGTTTGAGGACATTGAAAAATCAGTTAAGAAAACCATGTATTTACACTCCTCCCATAACTGGGAAAGCACATTTATCCTCTCATAATGACATGACATCAAAAGTGCCATCAGCCAGTGATTCCTCAGCTCCTTGGGATAGCCAGTACTGAGACAGCTCTCCTCCAGACTATGCCAAGTCCAGCATTCGAATTTCTTCGATCCTCTTTTAACATCAAGGATTCTAGGACCTACTCTGCTACGTGAGGGAGCTTCCTGTCTGCTTGAGGAACAGGGAGACAAGTGTTGCAAGTCTCTGACAAAGACTGACAATACAAGCACAGCCATTCCTGCCAGTGAACATTAAAAGAGGAAAGCCAGACTCAAAGGGGGAGATTTTTTGAGGAGTGAGTTTTTGGAGTTCGGTAAGCGTCTCACAATATAGCACTATTGTTATCGAAAGGGAAACACCTGTTTCTCGATGCTCAATCATGGCATCCCCATAAAGAGGCACATTTGGGGATCTTTTATGTTGCTGTATTCCTGCTGCTTCCTCTCAGCATAGCCCGGTTCACTACCTTTCTTACAAAGCTATTTTCCAAACCGTTTCCACAAACCTCCAAAGCTAGTACCTTAACTTGAGTTACAGGGCTGGTCCCTCTCTTTTCATTTTTTATCCCAGTAGGTGAGACTGCCCCTGCCGAGTTTGGTGGCTGTGGAGTTGATGGCATCTTTGCTCCAGGTGACACCTGCATGCTGGCCAGCTGAGCGGCATAGAGCTGCTGCAAAACAGAGAAGGCAAATGTCGGTCGGTCTCATTAAATACAGCTGAAACAGGTTAAAAAAAAAAAACTTTACTGTGTTGTCAGATAACATCTCTCATAACCCTGTAGTTTCTCTCTCAGTTTTTTAAAGATAAAAATAAGAAAAGCCAATTAACTCAGAACAGAAGAGGGCTAGGATGAGAAACACGGTACTTGTCTGTTCCAGCAGTGACAATAGGAGGAGACTGGTCTCCCTACAACTCAGTCCCTTTACCTTCATTTAAAAGGATTTGGCTAAGCGATCTCCGAGGGTCCTTCTAGGGCCTGAAATCACCATATGAAGTTCTTTAATGTCTAGTGTGTCCACTCGTAGACCAAGAAGTTAACCTCAACTTCCCTGAGGAACCTCTGTCTTACCATACCTCTCTGGGGATCAGATACTTCTTGGAGATCAGTGCTGCCTCTAAGCCCCCTGAGGCTGACAGTAGCCACTTCCCTCTCAAGATCTTATCTCTAGGCACCATATAACAGTCTTTGACAGGGTATATCCAGATTGGTAGCCATAGAAACAAAAGGTCAATCTTCTTTCCTGGCCCTAGGACTGAATGAGGTAACCAAATGCCCCCTTTAAGCCCAGAATAGCTATGCTGGTGTCTCCCCGAATCCCCCTTTGGCTTGGGACTCCCGGGTCATCTTCCTATATTCCCACTGCTGTTTCCTGTTGTACGTATTTGCAGTGTTTCTCTTTGGTAGTGGACCTCTGGTCCCTCCTGAGACAAGGTAAACAGACGACCTGGTACTGTACATCTTAAAGCGATCAGCATTAAGTTCATTGATGTAACTGAATGCAGACTCAAGATTGAAATATAAGCCAATCTCACTTTTATACAATTTTAACTTTTACCAAAATAATGTTATACATGGTTTCATAAATTCAATATTACTTTAAGGCTTTTAAGTAAAAGAAATCACAATAGCATGGCCACCTCGAATAAATTGAAGCCCCTACAGCCATCCATGATGGCCCTGGCCTCCCTACTTCATGCCTACTCTGTGGAGACCATCTCTTTTCCGCCTGGTTGACTGTTCTTACTGGCACTTTCCACCTCGCTTGCAGATGTTAGTGTACTGGTCTGTCCTTATCCTTTACCTCACACAGGAGGGTTAAAGCTTAGCCTTACCACATCACCAACCATATGTGCTTGCATGCATCCCTCCAATTGCTTAATGTTAATATCACAAATTTTAAGTTAGTCTCATGGTTTCATTCTACCTTGGCACTATTCATAGCTGAGCTATGTAAAAAGCTATATTTCATTCACCTCACCTCACCTCACCTCACCTCACCTCACCTCACCCCACCCCTCCCCCTCCCCCTCCCCCTCCCCCCTCCCCTCCCCTCCCCTCCC